ATACTCTGGTCAGGCCTGGCCACCCATGTTCCTTCTCACGGTATTAATTGTTGGTTCTCCGTAGTTGTCACCACATGGCTTTCTGATCAGCTCCGCCTTGTTCCACTGGATTGGAACTAGGACGCTTTTCACCTTGCTATCACTCCATTCCTGCTGCCTAGAATAGAGCCTGGTCAGCACAGACCCACCAATGGTGGTGATGGAAGGAACACAAAGTACAGGACAGCTTCTTCACAATGAGCCTGTGCCTAAATCGCCTCTGTCTTTGGGGTAGCCGGCTTCTCTTCTGCTCCCAGTCACAGCGCGGGTTGCTATAAGGGTTAAATATGTCAGACCACAAACCCAATACCTGGCACATAGAAAATGCTTAATACAAATAAATTGGGTTTTTTCTTTCAAATCTTAGAACCCTAAGCAAACAGCCAGGGCTTCTCAACAACAGCACTATGGACATTTTGGGCTGGATAAATTTTTCGTACCCCGGCTGTCCTACCCAGTGTAGGATGACTAGCAGAACCTGTGGCCTCTACTTACTGAATGCCAACAGCTGTTCACAATGTGATAATCAACATTAAAATGCCTAACTAAACTAAACTAAAATTCTCAAACACCCTTGAAGAGCAAAATCAAACGCTGTTTCTCACTACTGAAGGAGCCTGCTGGCTCGTATTTTTTAAAGAGAAAAAAGTGTGACTCTTGTGGTGTGTTTACTTTGTTAGTACTCTGTAACATGAACAGATATTAAGGCTGGGTGCGTAAATATTAAAATAATGAGCAAAATAATGACAACAACATTAGGATAATAGATGATATTGATTGAGAAGCTACCAAGTTCCAATCTGTGCCTGATATTGGTGGCACCTCTGCAGGATAATTATGGTTGCCCATTTTCCAGATGAAGAGACTGAGGGTTAGAAGGCCCTGAGCAGTTCACTTGCTCAGGGCCACACAAAATCAGTGAGCACCAGAGTTCCACCCTGGTGAGTCTGGCTGCAGAACATGCATCTTTCCCACAATTCTGTTTTTGTATCTTTCAAAAATCCTTCCATCTGCATTCCTGTCCCTAGTTGAATAATCTCCATCTGACTCCGTCTGTCTCCACCTCTTAGCCTCCATCCCCCACCAGATGTTCAAGAATGAAAATATCTGAGAAAATAAGCTGAATTTCTAAAAACGTACATCCAAACGTCTGGAAGGCCCTAGCGAGGGTGATTCAATTAAGAGAAAGTATGCTTAAACAGAAAGCGCCCCTGCCAAATTGAATTCTTGCTTGCCCTGTTGTTTTTGGATGAAGGATAGGGCCTCGATGTAAGGCTATACCACAGATAAATCTGTCCCCAAGAGAAGGACCACGGTTCTCCCAGGCCCAGCCCATGGGACACTTGCTCTGCCTGGCCTTTCTGAAACCCCTCAGGAAAACATCCCCACGAGGCCATCCACATGTCCATGTTGGGCTGGCTCTGGATCTCACCATGGAAGACAAAGGAAAAGGAGCTGAAGACACCAAGAGTCTTGTCCCTTCCACTTGCCAAGTGATCCCTGGACCTGCGGCACCTCAGAATGTATTAGAAATCCTTGTTTTCAGGCCCTAGGGTGGGGGCCAGCGATCTGTTGTCAAGAGCGCTCCCAAGAACTTGGCTGACATTGGCCTTCAGCATTTTCCTCTGATGGGTTTCGTTACTTGAAGGAAAGGGCTCTTTCCACTTTTGACCAAGATGGCCAAGAAGGAGAGGGGGATATTTGAATTCTGAATGGAAAGGGAAGAGTAGGAGAAAAGGAAGGAGACAGACCCAGGAGGAGACACTCCTGCAGTGTCACTGGTTTTGGCAGTTAAGCAAAGAAAGAAATGTCAGCACTGAAAGGAACCAACCAGGGTCTCTTCCTTGGTCTCTGTCACTTTACTCCTGCCTGCAGAGCTGTCAATGAGACATTATTAAGTCACAAATCAAATAACACCAGTCCTTTGGAGGCTTGCCACAGACTTCAGGTTGAAGTCTACAACTCTCTAGCACAGACTCTCATGACCTGGCCACTGCTGTCCTCCAGCCTCAGCCTCCCATCTGACACAGAGGGCCCCATATGAGGCATTCCTGCCCCCCACTGCAACCAGTCTTTCTAAACTCAGGTCTTGTTTTTATCACTGATAATAATTTTTACCTTCTGCCCAACTGGATTATCTATAGATATGAGTACTTGTTCCCAAGAGGTCGCCATAGTAGCTAATGACTATACCCACCCTACACACAACTTGCTGCAAAAAAGTCCTCCTTAAAAAAAATCCACTTGCCTATGGCTCTTTGACTTTAAAGTTTAAAGATCCAAGGTCATTCATCCTAACTAACAATAGTGAGTGAATTATTGGAGCCTGAGACCTTGTACAAAGAAAGAATGAGCACCCTGAGTCCCATCACTTCAGGCTTCTCTGAAGCATCCATGGGGCTTGTCTCAATTTTTAACTCCAAAGAATTCCCTGTGGTTTCTAGACTGACTTTACCAACTGCCAACCATGTTGGCCTGTGTATGGGCTCAGTTTCACTACCAAGAAGCTACAACTGAGTTTCTAGAAATAAAACTTCAGAGATTTTTATCGGAGTCCTTCTTCACACATAAAGATGTCTGGTAATTATCACAAAAGTTTGATTTAAAATTCAGTGCCTGGGTCACAGAGCACTCATGTTTCACTGGGTTTTAGCTGGTCCCCCACAATCTAACATGACTATGCCATGTCTTCTTCCAGTTTTTCAAACCAGAGTGGGTATGTGCTTTGCAAAGTCTATTCATTGTACCCCAAAGCTAGAGCTAAGCAGTGCTGGGAAACACCCAAAGCAGAAAAGGGGACATTTGGCAGCTGAGGGACTCCACGAGAAAAGCCTCATGTAGAGAAGAAGGAGGAGGACAAAAACTGAGAGAAAGCATTGGCAGAGCCAAAGCAGTTAAGTGGCGTGGGGGTACGCTGCACCCCGTGCCAACTTCTGCTGAAGTGACACGTGTTTCTGCTTTAAGCGATCAGTTCTTACTTTTAACATTGAAGATTAAAATTAAGTGCATTACCATAGATCAGTTTACAGGGATTTGGTACATCTGTTTTGGAGATGTAAAACAAAACGAAGTAACATCATTATGTGTATTACCAGAATTGGAGTAAAGGATTGGTACCAGGCTGGACCGCCCCACGCCACCTCAGAATGGCGGCATTCCTCACACTTGGTGGGAAGAGATTTGGCCTTCCAAATGCAAGAAGGCACCGAGACACAGTTCCCGTCCCCTGGTGGTGAGCTAGGAAATACCAGCCTCCTTCTTACCCTCCCCTGGGGCGGGAGCTGGGGAGGCCAACGGGCTTAGGGCTGTTGCTAGAACTTAGTAGAGGCCCACACTGTTGGCCCCGAGGCCCGGCTTGACACCCCACAGCATTGCGCTTGCCAGGCTCTTACACTGACCTCCAAGGTCCAGCCCGAAGGGAGAAGACTGGCAAGTTAGATTATTGTGCCAATAACGAGCGAATAGTCTCCGGTTTGCTATTTACACTGCTTTCTGGGAGAGAAAACAAGTCTTCCAACTGAAGTACTCCAATTTCTACTATTTATCCAAGATTACACATATAATCCCATAATAAAACACCGTTCCTGCCCAGAACACAGTGATTGCCTACAGATGTGCCCAAACCAAAACATCTGCACATCCAAAATGGCCACCGGCATGATATTTTATCTACTCTGGGTTGATAACCAAAACAGCTAATTAACTTCTGAAATTTTCAGAGTGGAAATTCCATATAGGGAAGGAAAAGGCATGCTGGTCGTGGGACCATAGCATCTGGGATGTGCTGCCCAAGATGGAAAGCTACACTGTGCCTGACATCAAGTAACACCTTGTAGTCGGATGAAGTTTGGCCCCAACAGCATGCCGTCACTAACACATGAAAATAAAATGCTCTCCTAATGGTGCCTGGCACAGCATCAGGAAAATACCTCATCTGAATTTTTATTCAGCTGACAAATGATGTGCGTCTCTGCCTTTATCTGGCTGCTTATATTAAATATCTGAGTGCAGCAAAGATTTCTTAATTTGCTCATTTCTCTTGAAACCAATAGAATAGGAGCTTAGAATAAAAATGTGTGGATAGGCAAGAAAGATGTCTACCTGCTCAGGCAAACCCCTGAAAATTGCTGGGCCCCACTGGATCATATCACATAATCATCCCAGTTCTACTTTGATTTGTCTCTCAATACACTGTTTAAAAATGTAACCCAATCACCAAATCCAACAAGCAGTCTGTTTATTATTACTTTTGATAGAAAGGTTCATAACATCCTGTAATGCGTGTGCATTTTTTATGCTGTTTGGCTACTAGGCACTGAAACCATTTGGGACATTTATTAAAATGCATTCAGCCGCTCTTTAGGATGAGGTTAATGTGGGATTTATGCCTCTGTGGTGTACCGTGCACAAAGCGGTGATAATGCTTATTTAGTACTTAGTTCACGTACAAAATGGTTGGCTATAAAAATCGAAGGCATACAAAGATGGGCTAGAGAAGGCACAGAATAAGGAGTGATTTCTTCAAGCTGAGGGCTTAGAGATGAGAGCAGATGAGGAAGAGAAATTTTTTGTAATTGAGGAGCTAATTCTCTGGTTGCATGAGGCAGGAAGCTGGAGGGTGGGGGCTCCTAGAACCCTACCTCAATCAATCTATGCCTGACAATCTACCAGTGGGGTTTGGTGCTGCCCAGGTAGAGCAAGAGATGCTTTCTGCATAGCCATACTTCCTCCTGGTACCTCCGTAATTCCTTTTTACTGCAAAGGCCCATGGCTTTCAGATAGACCCAAGACTTCAAGAGGGCCAGAGAGCTGCAGGGCAGAGCCAGTCACACATCTGGGCTCTGCTCCTCTGGTATCCAAAGCAGATGGACTCAACAAGATGGCCATAAAAATGCCAAGCAACTTCCTAACGGTTGGCCAGGCATCTGGGCATCAGGCACAGTGTGCATATTTCCTACACATGTTGGTGAAATGTTTATTTCCAAGAACAGAAGTGGTCCAGAAAAACCCCTGGAAGCCACCCAGCACCATATCCAGGAAAATCTACCCATTCCAGGAGCTGCTTCCTACTCAGGGTATCTGAAGGCTGGTGTCCCACTTCCCCAGGGCAAAGTGGAGACTTGGGGAACTATAAACCAGCAGGATCTCCCCCTTCTCTTGCATCTCAGCTGGTTTCACTGAGCCAGGATGATGCATAACCAGGAAGATCCAAGTAATTCTCCAGCTGCTGCAGTAGGTGAAGAGGGATCACATCAGGTGCATTGTTCTCTGCAAGCAGAAGTGGACAAAACACTGCTGCCAGGTCCATAGCAACCTCAGGGATTGTCTCAAAATAGAAATCAAAAAAATAAAGAAGAAGAAAAAGAGGAGGAGGAAGAGGAGGAGGAAGAGGAGGAGGAAGAGAAAAGAAAGAATTCAAACAAGTCATGGTCTCACCTGCTCAAGCCCTCCAAGGGCTTCTTACCTCACTCAGAGCATTGAAAGCCCTTTCAGAACCCACAAGCCCTACATCAGTTGGTCCCCTCTCCTTTGGACTGATTTCTGCCTCTCCATCTCCCTGAGGTCTTTTCTTCTTCTTCCTTTTTATCGGTACCAGGGATCGAACTCACGACTGCCTGCTTGCAAGGCAGGCACTTATGCCACTGAGCTAAATCCCCAGCCCCCCTGAGGTCTTTTCTGCTGCAGCCACCCTGGCCACTTTCTTGCACACTCCAGACTCAGGGCCTTTGCACATGCTGTTCCCTTTGTCTGGGATATTGTTGCTTCAGATATTTGTAGGGCCGTTTCTGCATTTTACAGAGCTCAGCTTTCACGTCCCCTCCTCGTGGTGACCCCGTGGGAATGGCCTCCATCACTTTCTTTGACATCCTGTTTTGATGATCAATATAGCATCTGTGTTCATTTAGGTTGTTTACTCAGCCTCTCCATACAAGGATATAACCCTTCTGAGGGTCGGTGTGTTGCCTGCCTTGTTCAGCCTTGTGTGCTCAATTCCTGAAGAAGGGTCAAATGCCCAGCAAGGTTCGAAGAATCAGTCACTCTTAGATGGATGAAGGTGAGCAGCTACCATGTACCAGGTGATATGTGAAGTTCTTTTCAAGCATAGCCTCCTTAAATCTTTGTGATAATCCTGCCCTGTCATACTATTCCTATACCCATTTCCCAGATAAGGAAACAAAGTTAACAGGGCAAAGCACTTACCCAATGACACATAACCTGGCAAGAGGTGGCAGGCAGGACTCAAGTGCAGAGTTGTTCCTGACCCCAAGCTGGCGTTCTCCATGGGAAGATTAGCTGACCTCAGCTGTGGGTAACCCACGGGGAGTGAAAGGCAAGATGGTCTGTTTTAAAAGAGCTTCTTAGGCAGCTGACCTTGTAAACACTTCCCTGTCTTCCACAGCCTGAGATTCATCCGGATTGCTGGTCAGGGTGTTTGCCGCATATATATTTAGCTTATATGAGGCCTAACAGGGCTAATCTTTTTCCCCACGCTCTCCCTGGGAGCCCCAGATTCATGCCAATCCACCTTCCTTCACCAGCCCAGGGCCTTCCTGCACTGCTTTGCACCTCATTCACCACTTTACACACTTCGTGCAGACTCACCCATGCACACACAGTCTCCTTCTTCCACTTACTGCCCCTCCCAACACTTCCCCGCACTCCCATCTGAAGATGAAGAATTTTATTTTTTTAAATACACACAGCACAAACCACAGAGGGTCATGAGAGGGCTATGGAACGAGCAGTAAACTTGACTGCCAATCAAATGTTTCAAAATGGCTCCTCTGGCCTCCTCCAGCTTGCCCTACGTGCCTGCTGCTCACTTGGGGAATTATTCTCGGGTACCATTTGCATTGCTGGCACCGCCCCACCAGCCTGTGTATTAGACACGTCCCAGGGTGGGGTGCTGCACTTAGTTACACCGAATGACGAATGTTTCCACAGCTGCAAACAAGAAACTTTTGCTAAGAAGTTGGGGCTGCAGGAGGAGGCTACTGACCTGGTTATTGGTGTTTGAATGAGGAAAGAGAAGAGAGGCGGTAAGGATTCCTCCAGATGGCAAATGGTAGGTCTCAGAAAGCCGAGTAAACCTCTGCCGGTATCTTAACAGGCAAGGAATTTAGCTGGAAATATACCAAGCAATTAAATTAAAATGGGCCAATCCCCACCACATACACCACTCTCAGAACAACGCTGAAAGCGAGCTTGTACCCAGGGCTGCGGCTCGCCAGGCATCTGTCTAACCTCACTTGATCCTCACTCCACTCTGAGTTAGATATTCTTATCATTATAGATGAGGACACAAGGTGCAGGAAGATTAATGAATTTGTCAGTGCCGCGAGCAGAGCGGAGTGCCAAACACCAGCTGTCAGGCTCTTAGCGTCTGTACTAAACGCTTCCATCCTCCATTCTTCCCGTGCAGATTCAGGAAAGGGGTCTTGAATCCGGCAGCCTGACACAATCACTTGGGGTGCTCCTTAGAAAACCACCAAGACCCAGACCCAACTCAGATCAATGAGGTGCCCTCCAGACATTGGTATTTTTCAAAATGTGATTTTTTTTAACAGTACTGAGGATTAAACTCAGGGACTTCCCACTGAGCTGTGTTTCCAGCCCCCTATTTTCACTCATTGTTTTGAGACTAAGTGTCACATAATAAATTGCCCCGGTTGGCCTTGAACTTGCAACCTTCCTGCCTCAGTGTCCTAGAGTGCTAGCATTACAGGTAGGCACTACTACACCCAGCTGAAAAGAGATTCTAATGTGCAACCTGATTTGAGAACCACAGTGGTCAACTTCAAAGTCAAGTTCCCTGATCCAACAGCATTAGCAACATCTGAGGATGCATTAGGAATGCAAACTCCTGTAGACCTACTGGGTCAGAAATTCAGGGGGTTGAGCCTGGGTTCATATTTTAACAATTCAGAAAACCGTTACTTGAAAACTAATATCCTGGGGGCTGAGGGTTTAGCTCAGTGGCATAAGCACCTGCTTGGCAAGCATAAGGTTGTGAGTTCAATCCCCAGTACCAAAAAACAAACAAAACTAATGTCCTTTCCAGAAATACAAATCCTGTGAAGGCAGGGATTTTATATGCTCCATTCATTCTCAATACCTGCCACCAAAATACTTACAAAAAAGAAAAACTATACTATGGAAACTGTTTCCAATACAGTAAGAATATCTGAACTGGTGGGCATTTAAAACCTCTACTTCCCACAGTTAGTTAAGGATTCAATTTCCATTAGTTAGTTAGATTAAAATCTTTGCAGTCTAAAAGTATTTAACCAGTCTGCTCATTTTTTCCCCCAAAATGATGAAATTAATAGCAACCACAGCGGTAATTGCTGGCCTGGCCCCTGCTATGATTAGTGCAGGTAGCTAATGTGCAAGGCTGTTGTAGTTTCTGAACTTTCAGCCCCAGAAGGTCAAGGGCAGCCCATTTTTGACAAAGACAGGAAATTTTTCCTAGCAGTTGAGTCAGTCTATGTTCTTCAGCCCCGCTCAGCAGCCAGGCAGCACCGTAGCATAATCAGAGAAAATTAACCATCCCTGCAACTCTGCTCATTAAAAGACGGCGACTCACGGTGGTTCCGTACCAGCCGGCTTGTCTCACAATTTTCCTCTCCACATCTTCTAAAAAATGACCTGGAATCACAGCCATCCTGCAAGTGACCAGTGATTAAATTTGTCCCCACAATTAATGTGTCTGTGACTGGCAGTGGGGAAGTGGTGTTATAGAGCAATCAACAATCAATGGTGAGAAGGTGACCTGACACCACAATCTTCTACAGTCGTAATCAATACCACTCTGGCCAGGCAGAGCCCCTCTCAATCTGCCCTGCCTTCATCTCGATACAGTTTATTCTTGTATAAAATACCTTAAATAAATAGTGCACAGAGAACACTCAGGGATACTTTAAATTACATCCATATCGTGCAAAGGCAAAAGCGAGTTCCACTGGGGAGAATCTGTCTCTCAGAACCAAACAAGCCTTTCTTTTAAAAACCTCATAATTGGTTATTTACACACTCCGCAACTTCACATTGATGCTGCATCCCGATTATCATAAGCATTTCCAACTTGACAGAGCCCGGCCACAGTGAATATGCAAGCTTTTCTAATTTCCCCTGCGACTAATGGGGATGGTGAGAAAGGATGATTTATTTGTTTGTGATTTGAATAGGATAATGGCCACACCATCTCAAATTCAGGGCTATGTTCCAGCCACTTGTGTTGCTTTGAAAACCCTGCCTGACACCCTCCAGAAATTATAAAAATTACAGGGCCCAAGATTTTTCTTGTTGTGCCTGGGCAGTGGTGATGTTGCCCCCCACCCTGCCATCTCTGGGTCTGGGAGGAGAGCAGGGAAGGACTTTGTGCGGCAGAAAACGCTATCCCATGAATGTGGGTCCAGTTTTCAGGCTGGCGAAGAGCGACATCAGTTACATGTGGATCAATTTAATCACAGGGAGCAGATCAGACTGAACACAAAGGCTGCGCTGCCAACTCCCAGACTGCCAGGCCTATGGCTCTGGGCCTGTGGACGCTAAAGAGAGAGGGGAGGTGGCCACCCTGAAGGGTGCCAGTGGATACCACCACTGCAGGAGAGGCTCCTGCACACCCTGCTACTCTAATACTAAGTGGACTCCTAATCTACCATTCTCCCATTGCTGCCACCAAACCTGTGTCACCTCAACATGGCTGACTCTGGGATCCTCAGGGAGCGTCCTGGTCATCCCCTGTTTCTTCCACTCTTGCCCACCCCAGTTAATTCCTCATGGGACAATCAAGTGATCTTTTAAAAATGATCCACCGTGTCTTCAGTCACCTTTGCCTTTGTCCTTGGAACCACCAGGCTCTGCAGGAGGTGGCCCAGCTGTGTCCTTCCACTGAGCTATGCCGACAATATGTTCTTCTTTCTGTGCCCCCACACAAGCTTACTCCGACCCCAGGGCCTTTACCAAGGTTGTTCTCTCTGCTTGAACTGCCCTTGACACTTTCCCTGTGGCTGACAATGTAATGTACATGTAACATGCACGTGATCTACTATGTATAATCTAAAAGTATGTATCTATTGATAACCATCTCACCCTCCCTTAGACGTATGCCACATCTTCAAAGAAGCCCTCCCTGTCTTCCTCCCAATGTCGCTTCCCGTGTTTTCTCTCCACCTCCCTCCATCCTTTTCTACCATAGCACCACGTACTTTCTTCAGAGTCTCATCTCCTCCGTGTACATTCCACTGTTCCCTGCCCACCACAGGCTGGCTCTCCAGCAGCCCCTCCTCTCTCGTGGTGAGGCACCGCCCCACCAAGTCCTGGCTCCGCCCACTTGGCTGAGAGACTCCTCCCACTTAAAGTCATTTCCTCTACCTGCATAATTGTGAGCCACCATCACCACCTCACCTCCCCTCCAGACACACACCCCACCTCTGCTCCTGCTGTGTCCTGATCTGCTTTCATATAGCTGTCAGCCAGCTGTGATCTCATGCACTTAGGAGGCCTCACCTAAGTCCCATGTGGATTGTTACATCACTTGCAGTCGGCAGGTGTCTGTCCACCTAGGGAGGGAGGCTTGGCCTGAAGCTTCTGGAGCCCTGTATGGAACGGCCCTGGGGGTCTGCTACAGGGTCTCCACCCCTCCCTGGGTCTCCCCATTCCCTCTATCAGTTCTTCCCAGCCTTGCTTGGGAGTGTCCCTGAGGGGCTTCTCTGATCCCCAAACCCCTCAAAGCAGCCTCCAAAACAATGGCCCCTAGGAATGAAATGCTCTCTAGTGTCAGACATTCTGAGCTGATTTCCATATTGTGCTATGTTGGGAGAGAGAACTCTGGAATCACAGACCAGCAGAATTCAAATCCTAGCCTTGCTATTTAGTAACTCTGTGACCTTGATCAAACTACTTAACCAAGCTGCACCTCAACTCTCTCCATCTCTAAAATGGGGCTAATATTGAATGAGATTAATTTTCATAATGTTTAGAATATGATGCCCAGTAAAACAGAGAGCACACATGCATATCCACACAGTAGATTTCTGTTATTTGCTCCTCAGCATTAGTTTACTGTTTCTAATACCCCACATAATTAAAACTCTTCCCCACAGCTATAAATTCCTCATTTCCAGTATTCTAGCACTTTAATGTTTGAATTTTTCCTTTAGTGGTTCCCACTACTCATCCATTTATTTCATAATCACTGCCTGACAGCCAAAGTGTATGTGAGCCTAGTGCTAGGATCTGGGGACCCCGTGGGTGCGGAGTAGCTTCAATTTCTGTCCTTGTGAAATTGGCAAGCCTGTGAGAGGAGGAGGCAGAGGGAAGACTCAAACGTGCACCTCTGTAAGTACAAACCGGATGCAGGTCAGGTAGAAAACATGTGGGGCACAAAGGGAAGTGAGGCACAGGGTCCAGAGAGGGACACACACACAGCTGCCACCGAGGACCCCCTGAGGGTAATATTTAAGCTAAGGTGAGGGTGGCTGAAGGGGAAAGTGTCCAGTGGAGAGCGTCATGTGTGAAGATGCTGCCAGTCAAAAGAGATCTGATGCCGCCCAAGGGACTACAGAGAGACACTTGGTTGAGGGCGGCCGGCCAGAAGACCATCAGGTGGGGACTATCTTCTTGCTCCTGATGGTCTCCAGCATCAGCGCACTGAAGGAAGAAGCAAGCCTGTGTCTTCTGGATCCCAACTGCCCAAGCACCAGTCCCTGACGCCCAGATGTGCCCAGATCTGTGAAGCTCCCTGCCAGCTCCCTGCTACCCTCTGCAGCCCCCAGGAGATGGGACATGGCGGTCCTAGGTGCCAGTCACAGAGAATGTGTCGTCTCAGCAAGGCCAGGAAAGAAAAGCTAAAATTGACTTTCACCACATACTTTGAAGATGTATCTTAAAGATGAGGGACTCAAGCCATAACCAGAGACATTTCTTCAACTTCTATTCAGGAAGAGCTTGGCAGAAAAAGCATCCCAGCTCAGGGCCATTGGGAGACATACAGGCTCCTTGGGTCCATTGGATGCCAGCCAGGTGGAGCCCACTGGGCAGGCTCTGAGCACTTGGCTTTTCTAGCATGACCCAAGGCCCGAGGGCTTTTCCACCACCCCCAGACTGGGACCACCACCTCCTAACCCCACGGTGACTGCCCACTTTCACCTGGCACTGCTTCCTTTCTCAGGACAACTCAACAGTCTTCTGGGGATGGAATACAAG